TCACCTACCCACTCACCCTGAGGATGGACTTTAACATTGCAGGGAGGAGAGAGATTGTTATAGAATTAGTCCTACCCACTCACCCTGAGGATGGACTTTAACATTGCAGGGAGGAGAGAGATTGTTATAGAATTAGTCCTACCCACTCACCCTGAGGATGGACTTTAACATTGCAGGGAGGAGAGAGATTGTTAAATATCTTTAAATTTCAAGTTTAAGCTTGGATAGACTTCAAAGTTTGGATAGACTCCAAACTTAAACTGAGTTCATAATTATTAGTTTTAAAAATTTATTTCTTGTGTGAAATTCAAAATAACGTGAACATTGCAAGCAGTTGGTAGAAATGAGAAGTGGTTTAATGCATAACATAATATTTAACCTAAATCTTTCAAGAATATAGCAATAAGAAGAATGAAAAGTACATTTGGTTATCTGTTTATGCATGTATCCTATAGGCTACTGAGTCAGTGTAAAAAATGAAAAAAAAAAAATCATTCATTCAAACAAACAAATCTAATTCAAAACAAATAGACTACATTCAGTAATCATGTACTCTGCCAACCTATTTCTAGGCCTTAATTATTTACAACACTTGACATCAATGTAATGTGATCAAATAATTTTTCTTGTTTAACTTCAGCTATGGATTGAAAACAGTTCAGGGGGTGAACCGCTTGTCTGGCCCGGGTGTGGAAGCAAAAGACTTTCCTGGTATGATGCAAGGGGGAGGCAAATGGCCCGGCAGGTGAGATTACTACTAATCGTCTAACCCCTAACATTGATTGAAATTTAATTTCTCATAACAGTGTCACTGCTGAATCAAGCATTTAAGATCATGAGAATAAATAAACTCATTGTCAAGCTCTTGATAGATGATGAAAAAAGTCCTTCACATCAGCACTATAGAAAAAGTATGAAGTACTATATCAAGAATATGAATACCCAGTAAGGGTGCAAAGGGTCAAACCTCTAGCCCCCATTGGTTATAAACATCTATGTTCTTCTCAAAATGTCAGTGTATCACCCATTAAACATGTGATGATAAAGATGGAACTTATCAGCCAGAAGTTATCTTGGTGTAAAGTTGAATTTAATTTAACTCTATAGAAGGATTTCCTCTAACTAGTTTACATGTATGAAGGAGGAAGAATAAAGATAGAAATGAAAAATGGATTATGGATTTATGGGTACTATAATTTCTTCTATGATACATGAGCTGTAAAAGGAATACTGTATCTCTATTTAACAAATTTATGGTGTGATTTGTGCTAGGTTGCAACGTGAAGTTTTTTATTAGCTCTGCATGATTTCTGAGGTAAAATTCATCTGATTAAGTTCTCAATTTTGTTCTCTAGACTTGCTCAGAAGTGTGGTGGTTTGGTTGGAGACATTGGAGAAGATGAACTTTATACAGAGTTCAGTAAAACAAGGGACCTCTTTAACTATTTGTGCAAAGAATATACCAAGGATTGTGTCAAAACTGACAAACAGGAATTATGATATAGGTCATAGCACCTTACTAACATTGAAAAGTTAAGTTTTGATGCAATTATGCCCATTTGGAAATGGTTAAAAACTAGAGAGATTTATCATTAACACTGCGGCCTTTTAAAAAGAACTGGAATTTTTTTAAAGAGGTTTTGTCAAAATGCTTTAAATCTTAGCTTAGTCAGGGAGTCAGATCACTTATTTTGTGACCAGTTCATACCTACAATAATTTTCAGTTATTAAGAATGGCTAAAGACATTTTTACACTGGTTTTCAGATTTGTTGCATTTGTAGAAAACTCATAATTTATTGATAAACTATTTGAAGTTCTTGGTTAGAAATTTCTTGCATTAACCTCTTGTTAAAAATTACTTTTTGCTTGTTGTGAAACAAGAAAGTTGGTAAGATGCGCAATGCCTTTGCTTTTTGTAAATTGTGCATTTGAAGCATACTCTTGCTAATAAAAACAAAGTACTTTGAAATTAGTCACATA